TATATATATATATATATATATATAATCAGCATTTAGGGGCTGAATTCACCAACCAGACAGTTTTAATACACCTTCTGTTCTGTCATCAAGCAGAAACAAAGAACTAATAGAGGTTCTTTTCCTCTATTTTTTGGCAGGATGACACAAATGGATTTTTYTGAAAGTGTCTGATGCTTTTGTTTGGATGTTTCTTCTTCGTCTGTCACCTATCGTTATTGCTTTCTGTTTCTCTGTCGATGTGTTTTCACCTGTGCATCTTCTTCTGATGTGACTCATCTTTGGAGGAAATACAGCTCAATTACACACACCATGAGGAGACATGGAGAAAAATCTATATTTGTTTTGCCTTTCCTCTTGTATTTTAAAAACATTTTGTGTGACTTTGCCTCATTTCTGAGAGAGCAATCGAGAAAAACAAGACCCAACCGGAAGGCAGAGGCTTATTTTGAGCTTTGAATGTTCAGAAAAATTCTGAAATACTTCAGCTCTGAGGAAAGGTCTTAATAAATGGATTTTTATGTGTTTCTTTTTTTCCCAGTCTCTTTGGCTAATTGAGTGGCAGGCTTGATTGGAGACTGTTGAAAAGCCACAATAGGGGTCTTTCTTTGTTTTCCTCCCAAGCATGTCAAATTAAGTGGCAAAGGGAGGCTGCTGCTTTAAGTGGCAGAGCTTTTTAACATATCTGTGGTCATTAAAAGGAGGTGTGTGGAAAGTGAGAGGAAGCAGAGCGAAAAAGAGAGCCTGTGTGTGTATTTATGTGTGCGTCGTCCACCTGCTCCACATGGGGTAGCTGGAGCTTGAAGGGTCGGGCAGGAAAATGAGACACAGAGAGTTTATTGAAGTCGTGTGTATGTGTGTGAATGAAAGACGGAGGGTGTGTGCTGCCCGGTTTAGTAAGCTGAGCAGTTGTGCCGTGGATTTAAAAGTAATTTCTGGGGCCACATGTGTGCATATTTGGACGGCGAACGCGAGTGCTGGTTGGGTTCTCGGAGCCGTGGTCTGTGATCCTGTCTGGATCGACTTGTGCATGTGTTTGTGTGCGAGTGCCACCTGGTGCGCTGGTCTCCGTCATGTGTAGTCGCTTAAAACGGGCAGGAATTTTCACACATGGCCGTGGTATGTGACCCCTGAATTGCGAAGCTGCTGCCTCAGATTAGACAGAGTCGGATGACCGCCATTGATCCCAACTCAGAGAGGAACGTTAGAGTCGATTACGTGGACAACAGCGGCAGAAACATCCATTGGTTCTAATGGGATATCAATAAAGATGTGTAAAAGTTAAATGACAGTGTAAGGCAAAAAGCAGAGACAATTACCACTTCAGAAGTCAATGTGAATACGAGCCAACAGTCAGGCTACGGAACAACGAATGATGTGGCAGGGAAAAAAAAACTGAGCATCAGTAGTTGCTTTTATGAAGGTTGTCCAGTTAAATGGCTTGTTTATTCTGTGGCCAGCATCACACTGCTTTGCCATCATGCCTCCAGACCAGCTCGCCTCAGTTCTTGGTGCGCAGCAGCTTGCAGATGGCCTCTGTGAACGCCGTCCAAAACCCGGCACTGTTGCAGCCTGTTTTTGAATGACTGCTCAGTGTATTAAATCCCTTTGGCTCCTGTTTCAACGTTGGCAAAATAAAGACAAAAAAGCACACACACACACACACACACACGTGCACAAGATTTCTAAGCTGTGCCATGCATACAAACATAGAAACTGATGAAATTGTAAACAGACAAAAGTGGCTTAATCCGCTGAGAGAATGAGTCAAGTCTTTGGCATCAGAGGAGCTCAGCAACAGATGAAGTGATTGATAATTTATCCTGCATTTCCAGGCTTGAATGAAATRGATTTTATTTCAGTAAAAATACAGTTTCAGTCATTGTACATGGACAAGTTTTGAAGAAAATGGCCTCCACTGATAAGGTCAAATGACTTTTCAAATATTTTTACTGTATCATTAGCCTCATTGGACTCAATTATATTGAGTTCTGATTAGATATTCATGGGGTAGTTTAGCCCTCAAACATTTTGAATCTTGTTCCACAGTTCAGTTTCCATTTGAGGTTTTATTCATAGATGCAGTTTGATAAGACATGAGTGCAGTCTATTCATGTGCAGGCTTTCAAAACCCCTCGTTTGTTCAGTTTTAATAAAACTGACTTTGTGCTGAATATAATGCTTCAACAGAAAATAGGGAAATAACAATGCAGATAGAGCGGAATTATTGATGAATTTCACATCAATGAGAGTTATTTTTGTTGGTTTTTTTTGTCCAAGTTGGTTAAGATTGTGTATCTTTATTAGTTTTAGTTGATGGTTGTATTTTCCTGCAGCAAATTTTCAAATCCATGCCATGTGCAAAAGTTTCAAGTCATCCATCATTTCATAAAATAATTAGTTTCAAAGGAGCCAAACTTTTTGTAATCTTGTGAAATGGTTTTGATCAAAAAAATGGTGTTTTTCTTTCAGCTGCTTTTCAGTTCAGTTTCGGATCACATCCAGAGGTAGAGTAGAATGAAATTGAAATATAAACTGATTCTGGGCAAACATTAAATTTCAGTGACGCTGAGCAGTTCATGTCCGACAGGAACTACAGTGGAAATCATGAGCTACAGCATGGAACAAGCTGCTGTTTCATACCGTTTTAATTGCACACAGTGGCTAAACATTAGCTGAACACATTGACATTAGCACTGAAACATAATGCAGATTTAAGCACAGGTAAGAAACATAAAAACGTCCTGACATGTGGGTCCGGTGGTTTATGCGTGTCTGTCGTCATGCGTGTTTTAGGTGTTTGGTAGCAGAGTCACGTTTAATCAGAGCAATAAACTGTTCAGTGAGAGATGGCCACTGCAGGATTCTGATCCCAGAGGTCCATATKTCATGGGCAGGGTACACTGTGTACCGCACACTGAGGGAATTTATCATAGTTCAAAGAGAGATTTATTATTTTGATTCCTGCACAAMATATCTCTCTGTGTGTGTGTGTCAGTGTGTGTGCAAGGCAAGAAAAAAATGTCATGTTGATTGGTCTCCACTGTCTGTGTTTTCAATCAACAAATGTGATTGAAGCCAGTTGCTGTGSAGCAGACAGACATGTTCAAACCTGAATCTCAATACTGTGTGTCATCTGAAATGTCAAGCTTGTGGCTCTCTGTCCAGAGGAAGCTGGTGGGACCTGCTTGTGTGTCTGTGTGTGTGTGTTAGACATCCATTTGATCAGCTGCAACACTGTTTATACGCAGGAAGAGTTTCGTGAGCTGAAATAATTACACTTGCTGTGAGCTTTCTAACAAAAATCTACACTTTTCAGACCATTTAAAAACTTAATCAGAGCTAAATGTGTGACTACTGCCTAAATATTTAGTTAATTTTTGTGTTGAAGCCAGAGAGTGTCGTTGGGGAGAGGGATGTCTGAGTTTCTCTCCTGGACCTGCTGCATCCACAACCTGATTACAGATATAAGATGGAGATGTATAGTGGTCTATTTTTGTTCCCAGTTTCTTAAAACTTAGGAACTTGGAAAATATTGTACTAAAGGAGACATATCATGCTTTTAAATCCTTCTTTTCACATTGAAATCATTCAGTTGGGGTCTATATAAAATGGAACTGCAATGCTTTGGTCTGAATTCCTCCTTATTGTAACTCCACAAGCCCCTCTTTTACCCCTTTTCTGAGGTGCGTCTCAGATCAACTCRTTTTAAGGCTGTCTCTTTAAATCCACAGCCCACCCCCCTCCAGCTTCCAGAGGGGTTCACTCTAATTTGGTTGAGGGGTTTACGACTTTATAGCTGCACAGAAATGTTTTATTTACAAATGAATTTAAAGATGTAAACAAGGGAAGACTCGTCCATCCAGCCTTACATGTTGGAGCCAGAGGAGAATGAAGACCACCTAATTGTAGTTGGTAAGTCCAGACCTTATTTAGAATTTCCGTAGCAAATATTGTGATGCAATAATTCAGAAAACAACATCGAAAATAGAGAAAACTCAACAGGTTGAAAAATATGACCCAGAATATAAAGATATCTACGCAGTACTGGGAGAGATATAACAATTTTTTGCACTCCTAGAGACTTAAAGGACACAACAAAATGTATTTAACGGCTAATAAAGTGGATTTTGTGTGATCTGTCCTCCTTTTAATTATAAGCTCAATCTTTCTTATGAACGTTTC